TGGGTTAAATTTTTTTTTTTTACTTTTTTATTAATTACATTTCCAATCAACTGTATTAAAAAGAAATATTTTTAACTGATTTGCTTTTACAAATGGATTTTAACTGTTTTTTATAAGTATATTAAGTAATAGTTTACGTAAAACTCAGAAGATCATATTTGGCAATATGAATGTTTCATGAAATTTGTTCTTTGAGTTTGTTACAGACAAAATAAATGTTAGTTGGTAGGATGTACAAGTTTGTAATGAAGTAGACAAGTTTTCCATGAAAATAATATGTTTATTTTTAGACTACATTTATTCTTATAAACAATTATTTTACATATTATTGATAGATGAAACCTTATATAATCTGTACTTGAAACATTATGATAGACTGAGAATATTGTTTAGCCTCAGATATTTTAAAACGTATTAACTAAAAATAAAATAATATTTTTCTTATATTGGAAATTTTGCTAGAAATAATCCTTTTTTTCAAACACTTTCAGTAAAAGTTAATAATAAAACTTCTACAAAATTTATTGATGTTAAGACTCGTTTTTGGATATCAGATATCATTTCTTGTATATTTACAATATATATATATATATATATATATATATATATGACCACTGCTATTGTGTGTTTTGTATATTCACTGTATTTGATTACATTTTCAGTTTTAAGTCAATTTTATCAGAGAATAAAGTATACGAAATAAAATGGAAATGCAGACAACAGACTATCTTCATGAATCAAATCGTTGGTAGGGATTGTCATCCTTCAGCAAACCTACACAAGAAATGTGAGATAACAGTTAAATGAAAAGCATTTAATACAAACTACTAATTAATAATGGTTAATAAACATGGAAAAACGTTTCTTTGAATGGTTAACTTAAGAGAATGTGTATGTTTCATTTTAAACATATACAAGCTTAATTCACACTAGAATTTTTCCAATGAAACATACTGTGTAATAAAGTCAATTTTGAAAATTTTCTGCACCTTTTAAAAATGTTTGAATCAAATATATTATTAAGCAAGTTACACTTTATTGCAATATTTGAGACTTTTCACCCAATCATCTAATATAGAAAAAAAGGTAGTATAAGAGAAAAGTTCCTAACTTATCAAATAGGATTCTATGAACTGTTTTGAGTATCAATATTTTGTTACATGGAAACAACCCAATCAGCAAATTCAGCTGTGATAAATGAACTTCCTTTTAACACTGGACTTAGGCATATCAGTCACAAGCCTTTAACTGACATCCATAATTCCTTTATTGCAACTTAACTATTGGTTGAGGGTAGAAATAGTTACAAACATGGGTCTAGGTAGGGCTTACATGTACACACAAAAAGTGATACATTATACATTCTAGTGGTCAAGTTAGGGCATGTACAAGCACCACCTTTGTAAAACTTGTACTCATTTATTTATAGATAAATGAACCATATCAGTTACAGACCTTACCTTACTGACAGTAGAAATAATGATACAACAATTATCCAATACATATATATTAAAACAATATCAACAAAAATTCCAATAGTGTGCAACTAGATGACATGATAGTCTTTGGCTTTTCAAACACCAAGCAACATATCTGAAGAATCATGCTTGTTCACACCGATTAGTTGTTAGAAGCATTTAATGACTGCATCGAGCAAATCAAATTACCAGATACTGTATTCATCACTCAGCAGAGTTATTTCATGGGTGAGTAGGTCAGAACTGTGACTACTCTATTCAACTGCTATCATTCTCATCTTGTGCAAAATACATATAGACCATATTAGGATCGTACAACATATACATGCACTTGGCAAAATAAGTAATAATAAAAAACACCAATAAAAATAATTCATGACTAAACCTAGACAAACTGGCATATTTTTTAAAGCAATTACTCTATTGGTAATAGACAGTGATAAACAGTACTGATTACATATATATATATATATATATATACTTTAAAATGCAGAAGTGATTAATACATTTCAAGGAATACCTTGTATGTTATTAAAACTGATAAATTACCATATGTTCTTGAACACCAGAAGAAAAGTACAAATTGATCCTCCTATTTACATGACATCAAACAACACACAATGAAGTCACATATTTATATCATTACATAACATTAAATGTTGGTAAATAATATGTCTTGTTTTGGTACAAAATATCTATAGAAAAATCCAAACAGAACAAACAATTGAAATTTCAGAACTTATCAAGATGAATTTATTTTAATCCTAGAACTTTAAAACTACATTTCTTTCCAAAGGAAAAAAAAAGGTTAATAACTGTTTATGGTGACCAGCCTTTCACACAGCTAATCAAAAACAGTTATAATGACTAAACAATTGGATTATATTAAAAAAAAAGAATTCATGACGGAGTTGGTATATGTACCTTATAAAAGAGAACTGATTACTGTACATTAAATCATAACCTCTTACATTGAAGACATATTTTAACAGCCCAACAGTTTTGTTGCTGTAACATGAAGCCTTGAAAGTTCTAGTACAAGAACAGATAGAAAGTGGTGTTCATAATCTAGTTATGCTCATGTTTGAGACCTTTACATTTCCATTACTTGTAAATCTAACAAACTTCCTACATAATCTATGGGCAATTGTTTTCTTATGCAGAACATTCAACTTTTACAAAAAGGTCTGTATTAATTACAAAAATAGCTACTATCTGTAACATAAAATTAAACTTACCATATTTACGACGAATTTCATCAGTTCTAACTTGTCTTTCCTGCTTCCTATTTACAAAAACAAAATTATTTTACTATGAAAGAAAATATATGATGTGTTATATTTATTAGTCTATTTACATTTTCTACTTGAACTATTGGAAATGGTACTTTAAATATGTCTAGACCAAACTGAAATTAAAACTGCAAATGATTATTGAATTTAGCAAACTTGTACAACATTCATATTCATTGTATTTTGGCATGTAAGTTAAATAAAAAGTTTTTCACAAGAAACTACTATAAAAATTTACAATTTCTTAAAGTGTCATAATTCACCAATTATAAGCAGCTGAGTTGGTTTTGGACAAAATTTAATGAAATTATATTTATGTTTAAGTCAAAAGAAAAGAGCATTCAGTGGAGGTCCTCTTGAGAACGGTGCCCATGAAAATCTTCCTTTATAGCCTATGCAACAGTAGGAACTCGGGGTGCAAAATTACATGTAGATCTGAACTAGTTAGTTCATCAGATTCATATTACCATTAATGAAACAATGTAAACATCAGCTATTACCATTAGTATCTTAGTCATCATAATAATAATAGCATTTCACATACCTAAATTCACTTGCTACTAAACCCAACGCTGTACTGTTATCAAAATTTAAAAAGATACTTTCTTATTATGGTATATAACGTCTTATATTGGCAATGCATGATCTACAGATCAATATTTTGTGTGACATTACATCACAACAACACTGACAACAAACAAACCTTCCTTTACTAGTCCTATCTGGCTTTCCAGAAGAACATAATAGCATCTTGACTGCTAATAAGGCGTTTTGCTCAAAATCAGAGCACATTATGTTAGCTGAGCATGCAACACAAATCCTCCATCAAAATATCATTTGTATCAGCCATTTTTCCTATAATGCTTATTTATGCTATAATTTTTAAATCATTTCAAATGAATGTGGTTCAATTGAATCTACAGTACACATGTAGAAAATAAGATTTATGGAAATTTCAGCACACATTTTAGAGCCAAAGTGAACATACTTTGCTTCTTGGCTTAAAAAAAGAAAAGAGCCCAATTAGGTAGACTTTCTAAGTATACAGGTGTTAATATTTAGTATATTCTAATAAAAGTTATCCACATTATATACACAAAATTACTATTCTTTCTCTCTTAATTGAGAATAACTAAGAGAACAAAATCTGATGTAGTTAAATTTAACTCCTCCTCCTCATATTTTTTATTTGTATGTTTAGATTATTTATTTAGAACTTGGTCAAAAGATTATTTTTATAAAGGGCTCCTAAAATTTTTGCCTTTTTGTAGCTCTTTAACTTCACATTTTTATTTCTTAAAAAGTTGATTTTCTATCAAATATGACTGAAAAAAAATAATTCTAGATTATATGATGTTACTTAATTTGTAATTTATTTCTGAGTGTTTTATGTAACATCAATTGTGAAACAAGTTCTAAAACTGATGCAGTTCAAACCTTGCCATTCAGTATTTACTTTACTCAAATGTAATCCATTATGGAATGAAAAATATTTTAATGAAAACCAGTTCTATAACTTATATGAATTAAAACTGATAAAATTTATATTAAGTTATTAACTATAGTAATATTTTTCAAAAGTGGTTACAAGAAATGTCAATGTAATTTCATGAAAACAACAGTTCTATACATTACAAATCAAACTTGATACAAGTCAAATTTTAATTAGGTATTTCTTTCTGATGAGCTACATAAATTATTATCAGCTAAGAACAAGATCTATATCTATTTAGAACACTGATGAATATTCATGATTAATGTGCAGATGTTTCATGTATGCAAACAGTCCGAAACACAATGTTGGCATTTCTTAAAATCAGTGAACAATACTTTCAATGCCTTTTGGGTTGAATTGCAATAAAATTAATCACAAATATATATATGTGTCTACAACCTTACAAATAAATGAACTACTGGCATAATTTACCATACGGCATGTAACTTAGCAGAAATCTTGACCACTATGTGGTTCAACAGACCAAAACTGATAACACGTCAACCTACTAGTTTTGTTCAATAGAGAAAACCTAAAATATGCTGCACTCAAACTGATTAACAAAAAACAGAATCAATGGTAGAAAAAAAACTCTCCTTTAAGGAATATCTTTACCTAACTTTCAAATCAAACAAGCAACTCAGTACCATACATATAACTAAATTAGAACACAATGCAGATATATACATTTTGCTATGTGGTTTAAGAATAATGACAGATTGTTTGACATCACAATCTTATTAATATTGGATGAACCACATTTTACGTATTTGATAAATATGAGTTCATTATTACACACCTTTATACCAACATTTTACATGTGCTAATGGAGGCTAATGTTATAAGATTATTACTTTTACAGCTGAAAAAAGATAAAACTCATTCTCAGTATTGTAAAATGATTCTGATCTTTAATAAATCAATGCATGTAAAAAACGATTTACAGATTTAAGACGTTTTGGTACTTTGTGTTTTTGATTCACAACTTTTAATTTTGTAGAACTGATTGGTTTGTTTGTTTTGAATTTCGCGCAAAGCTACACGAGGGCTATCTGCGCTAGTCATCCCTAATTTAGCAGTGTGAGACTAGAGGGAAGGCAGCTAGTCATCACCACCCACTGCCAACTCTTGGGCTACTCTTTTACCAATGAATAGTGGGATTGACCATCATATTATAACGCCCTCACGACTGAAAGGACGAGCATATTTAGTGGGACGGGGAATTGAACCCGCAGACTGCGAGTCGAGCACCCTAACCACCTGGCCATGCCGGGCCAGAACCGATTGGAATAAAACTATTTCCTATATTGTTTTCTTACATACATGACAATAAGTTCACATAGTGAGTGTACTTTTATCAGAAACTGGTAACATAGTTAGTCATGAAACACTTTTCTTCCACTTGTGAAGCCTAACTCCTCACTTAAAGAAACACTTGCTACATTAGTCTAGTGGTGAAGTTCCTGGCTAGATATATGAATATCTGTAACAACTGATATATCAAAATTGCATGCTATTTCTCAATGATGCATTGAAATTGGTTTCTGTACACATGTAGCAGTGGACCTATTCATTAAACTACATACTAATCTCAACAGTAATAGACAAGTTTCATTTGAAAGATCAATCTCAAATGGGGGAAAAAAAAAGAATAGACATCTTGTTGTGTAACTATTTACTTCAAGAAAATGATTTTTATGACAAAAATTCTTGGTAATGAATCTCATTTTCAAAAAGTGTAATTATTACAGATCTTACAAAAACAAAAACAAAAACTACTGTACCTTTCCTCGGCTCTTAATCTACGTTCCTCACGTTGTTGCTCCCATTGAGCCTGGTCTCTATCCATAGCTTTCCTTTTTCGTTTTCTGCAGCAGCAACAACAACAGATAGTGATGGCTAAAAGAATTACACCGCCAATAACACTCAAGCTGATGATCAAGGCCTCGAAGTTAACTAGAAAATAAAATTGTCCATAAAACAGAATGACAATCTGTCATTATTAATAAACCGTACTTATCTTCAGACTATTGGTACAGTATGAATTTCAGCTTTGAAACACACTTTGAAGCACAATCAAAACAACAAAATTGTAATCTATGATGAAATCAGATGGTTGAATAAATGATGATCTAAATGTATAGGGGGAAGAGTTAGGTATGTAATAAATGAACACAATATTGTGTGTAGCAATTAGTGAAAAAACCACAGTAAAGGGAACGAACTGTCAGAAGTCTGAAAATTAAGTAAAAAGAAGAATCTCCGATAGCTGCTTAATCAAAAGCCTGCCTAATTTCAACACCTTCCAAGGTCATTTGAAACTAAACAACTTCCTGACCTCCCGTATCCTTAAGGGAATTTCAAGGTCAGCTGTCACATCGCCATTTGTCGACCAGTTTTTCCTGCCAGAAGACGTGAGACTGAAGAAGATGTTCAAATGTGTCGAAACTAGTTTCTCTGATATCAGACTTCTGACAGTTCATTTCGTTTACTGTGGTTTTTTTTCACTAGTCAGGTATGTCTTCCAATGGAAATTTTGTAATGCATAAATACATTATAAGCACTGGAACAAAATGTGTACATGAACAGTGTATTTATGCGTATATATTTGGTTTTCATAATTCCTGTTCACTTACAAAGATTTATGAACATGGTAGACTGGAAATTCTTTATAAACTTGTTATATGCTTAATATCTTTTTTCCATTAGTATGTGTGGGTAAAATTCAATATCAGTTTCCTAATTTCCCTGTTTGCCAGGCATATCACTTGGCTATTATTTTCAGTGTTGTCTGGATTATAAAAATCCCTAATTCTGTCTAATTACTGGTAACTTTAATGAAAATTTCAAAATATCCTAATTATGGAGGCTTTCAGTTGTTATCATATTATAAATATTATGTAATTAAGTCATTTCTCAGTTTATTTACATGTATTTAGCATTTATATTTTATTTAAAAGCTATTATGCTTCATTGCATCTTACATTACTTTCAAAATTTTATGTTGTGTAACTAAGACAAAAGCATACTACTCAATTTGAACTGGTATTTATACCCCAGAAAAAATATGGAATTTTTTTTTTATTCTTGTAAAATTTTATATACAAAAATAATTCTGTTACAAACAATGTGAAAATCAGTCAACAACAATTAGTATTATTGACAATGTTAAAGGCTATATTAAACCTGAAGATATAAATACTGATATTATGTATTAACCCTCTGTTAACAATGTTGGTCCATTGGACCAATCCCATTCCTGTATAGTTATATATAGTAATGTTTACTATAACTACAATTATACTAAGTATATCATCACATAATTTGACAAGTTTTTAGTAAACATTACAAGTCTCTGGTGTACAGAAAAGCAGTTTTTTTTAATTAAAGTATCTGTACTACAGATCTGTCTGTAAATGATTGAAACCTTTACTGAGTCAGTCTGAGTGAAGTGATTTTTATGATAGGAAGAAAACTACTTCATTTTAGTTTTCATATTTCAATTGCAAATATAAAATATCAAAAGTTTTTCAGTAAACCTTTATATTATATCTCTTATTTTACTCTACCACAACACTAACTATAGTCAAATCATCAATTACCAATGAAAAAAAAAAAGAAATAAAATCAATAATACCTTTTTTCTAAAATGAGTACAGATTGTAATAGACAATTATAATTACTTATCTACACCTTAGCTTTCTAGCCTTTTCATACACTTACTCACTTTTATTATTTCATAATGCCCTTTAGATCCTATCTAAGTGTATGACAAGTAATTAATCATAGTGAGAGAAGTTTTTATAAACAACAGATGGAGTTAAAATCATGTGATGCTGTTAGCTCGAGCTGGCTACGTGAAATTTTAATATTTTTTTTCACTTACTCTTTGTTATATAACCTAATAAGTTTCTATTTAAAATATATAACAATAAAAAATACACAAAAGAAACAAGAGATTCTAGACTTACATTACAGTTTAAGTCTATTTCAGTGACTAGTATTTGAGAACACACTTCCTTAGCACTAATTTTTTTCATACTATGTTGATTCTCCACACAATCATTAATTATCTTTTCAAATATATATATTTTAAATACAAAAAATATACCAGGCACAAGAACAGAATGTCTCAGTACTAATGTACTTTAACTAGCTTTCTAACTAAGCTATACATAGATGAAAAAAAATTCTGTTAGCTGCTCGAACCTGAACACCATAATTGTAAACAGTGAAACTTATGCTAAATATCTACTTACAGGTGCCAAAATGAAATAACAATATAAAGAATCTTGCAAAGAAAAAGATGCTCCTTCTATTGGTTACAAATAACCCAAAGCAATGTCAGAGAGAACTGTTCACATTTTTTTTAAAGACCTGGGAGAGAGATGTCACATGGGTTTGACATTTTTTTTTTATATCTCAGTAAAGCAAGAAGATTGGAGGTTTTAAGTTTTTATTCTAGCTTGTCAATATCTCTACTATGTGTTTATCATTACTTGGACACTCAGAAATTCATATAAGGGTAGAAGGAAAATATAAAATGAGGAAAGTAGAGAGCAGAGGCATTACATGACACACAGAAGTGACAATTGAGAATTTATATATTTATTTTTGAAATTAAGAAATTAAAACTTAGATAACATAAAAACTTGAATTATAAATCATGTTTGGATGCCAAATTCTTGAAATACATTGATAATAAAGATATGTAATTAAATTTTGAACATAGCTTTTAAAAGGTTGTGATGTGCACTTTGTCCCAGTCATTGACATGGTGTACACTAGTAGAATTTCTTTCTTTAATGATTATGCATTAATATGCTAAATACACTTTTTGTATATACATGTGCCAATCTTGTATTTGCTTCTTTTATACAGTAATGCACTGGTAGGGAATTTGACTTCATTAACTCTTTCACTACGATTGGTGCATACCCTCCACACAAACCTCTAAATCCCTATCATGCGAGTTTGTAATTTGTATACCACCATGAAGAAAAGGTATTACTCTTGAAACTTCTCATAGCTTTACCTTTTTCAAGTTTCAGTTAACTAATTAAATATTAAATTATTTTTATTGAGTTTCTCTTAATAAACCTGACAGGAAAAAGAGAGATAAGTTTTATATGTCATGTAATGTTTGGTCATTGAGCACAAGCTCCAAAAAAAAATTACTCAAATTGTAACTAAGCTACAAGATTCAATGGTAATTTGTCTTTACATCCCTACAAATGAAACAACTTGAAATTGCAATAAGCCAGAATTTTATAATTTAAAGTGAAGGTTCTGCATCTTATTATCTAAAGAACGAATTTTCTTAAATATTCAAAGCTTTGCTATTTCTAGTTACAAGTAAAACACAATTGCATTTGGGATTATGTAAACTCTTTATTCTAAAGCTCTGTAACTGTAAACCACACTTTTTACTTACTTATAAAGACAGATGTGAGTGACACATCAGTGGCCCACTGTTTCATAAGTTCCTATTAAATTACTTACTAAGACAAGTTCCCCATGCCATATCTCCCAGGGATCCACACTCCTCATATCGGGGCACAAGGTGGCTATAAGGATAATAGGAGCATCGTCTATTTTTGTAACAATAGTAACACTAAGGAAGAGAAACAAGTTCATGTTTTGGTCAACTATACACAACAGATGAATACTAAATTACTGATTAAAAAATGCTTTTTTACTTGATAATTACACAGGTCAAAATATTTAAGGGAGCATGTTTGAGATGGTGCCATCAGCTAAAAGTTGTGTAGCATGTGTATTATGTTCCCTTACCCATAATTGGCAATGAAACAGTCTAACAAAAATAATATGGGAGTGTCCATACACAGACGCCCTCTTTATTTACTATTCAAGAAACTTAGAAAGCACACAGTATAAAAGATTTATATATATCACAATACATGAAGCCAAACACCTCATGTGTTTTGGATTTCATGTACATACTCACTACTGATATTCAAGTACATCCTAAATTTAAGTAGAGTATTTCAACATTTAACCACTGAGTAATTCTTAATTAAATTTAAGTTAAATTAAAAATATTTCAATGTTAGACCATGGATTTGTAAATCCCACTAAAACACAAAAATAAGTCATGAAATGAAATGCACATCTTAAAGCACACGTATGTAGCACCAATGGAAAACTTTAAATAAAATCATAGCTGATTATTATGCAAATATACGCATCTTTACCGCTGCACAGTTAATGTACGGCTGCCCTCTAAAATAGAACTTATACTTATTGTACCATACTATGATTGTATTATTTCCTGTGACTGATTATGACTGACTTATTTCTGCAGTAATCTAGACTACAAGGTGTTGTAATAACAGCCATGCAACTTTAGCAATCTGAAATCCAATTAAAGTCAATGCAAAATATAGCAGAGAATGGAACTATTGTGTAAGTTTATCTTTGGTAAAATAGTACAAAATTAAGATTTTTATCAAATTATTGCTAATATATTACATTTTATTTGTTACAGCAGATGAAAAACTTGTTATACACATTTAGTAACTTACATATGTACAGTATTTCTTAATCACTTAAACAAGGCATATAAACTGCATATATTGTGTGTGTGTATATACATATTATTACACATTTATTACATCACACACACATAACTTCTATTAATAATAATAACTTACAGATTTCTTACTTACATTTTGTTCAATCATCTTATCTAAGCTTAAACTAAAGAGTAAGATGTAACTCAGTAGTCACACAATATTGAATGTTTGAGGTGTTTATTGTTGATTGGTTTGTGATGTAGATTTGTATTAATTATTCTAAACAATGTGATGCCAACATATGCAGTCCGCAAATTCTTAACTACTGAATTAGGTAATGATAAGTTTTAATTAGTAGTTTTTATTAATACTGCTTATACTAATGCTTGATTAGATTTGATGCTCAAAATGTAAATTTCACTCCTCTAGTGTTTATGAATTGACTCGTGTAACTTGCCTTTATGAGTTAACAAACAGTTTCTGGTGTTAATTGGGTTAGTCAAGACTATTGTAGATGACTTAGTTTCATGTTACAGAATAAGAATGTCACAATATATTTACTTATTTCTAATGAAATAAGCTAAAAAAAAAAGATCAATATTATGGCCCACCTTGGCACTTGACTTGACACAATCTTCACATGAATCATTGTGTTGAGCACATGCTGATGAAAAATACAAGAACACAAATTTTAGTTTTTCGTAAAAAAAGATTAATGCTCAAAAATGTCCATCATCGGGTTAGAATTACAACACTATTATTAACATAAATTTGCTTCACCCTCTTATATTGACTGTGTAGGAGCATAAAGCAAGCCACAGTCTCATTATTAACTGAACTGTGAAGCAGGACATGACTACACAGATCCATAGTTTGGCATGCTAATCACTGGGCCACACTCAGCCCACAAGGCTAATGACTTAATGGAAAGGATTCAAATTAGGGCTAGAAGATGATTGAAGGGATGTATCAGTAAAGATTATCAGAAGTTTATTAGGAGAAACAATGATTTTCTGAAACATAAAGGGTGGGTTTAAATTTTTTCTTTTCTTAAGGGTGAGGGTGCAAGGGCAGCCTTGAAAGATCAAATGTTCTTGTTGTCAGTACGTAATGTTATTAAAAGTGCAGGATACTACATTAATTTAATCAAGCAAATTTTGGAAGATTTCATATAGTTCTACTACTATAGCTAAGTAATGAAAAAGTTTGACAAATGGCTATTTTTTTTTCTACCACAAGCATTTTCCTCTTATCAGAAAATAGTTTATCAAACTCTTAAAAACAATTTATAATCTTTGAAAATGTTAGCATTGTTTTATCTCAATACTATACTTCAGGCTCCTTCCATTATGAAAAGATTCAGTCCTTGTTACTTTGAAGACTGCTATACTGGTGAATGTGTTCACTATGGTAAACCTGTTCTAAATTCAAGAAAACACACACAATTATTTTGCCCCACAATCAATTAACCATTGTCGTTTCATTCATTCAGCCATACACAACTGCCGGTTCAATGCTGAAATCTTTGCTCTGACTACTCTTCCTCCATGCTGCTCTGTCCTGTGCATGGTCCTCTAACCCTCCTTACATTTGCCATTGCTTCAATAGGGGTTCCATTAAATTAAAAATTAAAAGTTTCAAAACTTTTACAGTTTGGCTCAAAAGATTTTGAATGCATTTGTGTTATGTGGGAGGTATGGGAGGGGTTGGCCAATTTTACCCTTCATATGAATAAAGATTTAAGTTATGCTTGTGTAAAACAATACTTACAATACTTGGATAGTTGGAATAATTGAAAATAGTAACGATCAAAACACTAAATTCTATTAGCTGATTATTTTCATAAATAGTTACACTAGTCAAGTAATTTCAATGACCTTGAATTAATTTAAGATAATAATAATAAATGATAATGGAAATATATCAATTACTTTGATAATTAGAATACTTGAAAACAGTAACAATTGAAAACACTAATTTTAATTAGTTATTTTTGTGACATTAAACAATATAATTGTAATTTCGATTAATCAATTATTTTGTGTAGTACTAATTGATGTATCAATGCTCATAGATAATTGATTATATCAGTTAACTGAGTTAACTACCTAACTTTTCTTGCAGGTATATCTATAAAAGGAAAAATTTAGTAATCCTATATGACAAACCCATTACATTATATAAAACAAATAAAACAGTTGTCAGATAGACTTGTAACATGATCTGAAAATTTACAATCCACAACGATCCTGGTGCAATGGGTGTATTAGCTGAACATTTAGCTGAACTGGAGTTTTAACATTTATTCAGGCCCACTTATTTCCAAAATCTATAGTAACATATACAAAATTTGAGTTTACGTATACTATTATTACTAAATCCATAGCAAACAATATTCACCATCTCTGGGGGCATGAGAAGTTGTTGTTGGTTTGCTCTCTGTGATACTTTCAATTCCTCTAGTGCTAGGGCTAGTAGGTCTAGCAGTAACACTAGTAGCAGCAGGATCAATTATTTTAGCATTATCGTCCATATTTCCTTTTGTATTTTGGTCAATACTTTCTCCAAGACAAGTCATAAGTGCCCAACTTAGAACAGTTATTAGGCCCACATACCTTACTGTATTCAGCATCCTTGTTTTCTTTCAAAACTGAGATCAGGCAGAATTAAAACAGCTGACCAGGCTATAAACATAAATAATACACTATTATTTTGTACGTGTCTTATTCTTCATGTGAGTAACAGAGTCAAAGTCCAAGCTAATTCACCAAACTTTCTGCAATGACTGTTGTCTTCTTATTCTTCTTGTCGTTAGTTTATAACTGGTGAATAAGTTGCCCGACCTAAAACAAAAAATTTTTTTTTATAAAGTTGACCATACTTACTTTAAAAAAAACATTAATGAGGAAGTATTACTGTTAACATAAAAATGCCTAGAGTAGACTAACAATAACAGCTACATAAATAGAATTTCTTTAAAAGAAGGCACAGGTAAAAGAAATTGGACTGGAATGATTTACCACTTAAGTTCTATTGTTCTCCCAGAGCAGTACTAACCTATAGTATACTGCTATAGGGTAATGCTAACCAGTAATGCTAAATAAATTAAAATTATAATGTAGTATCTGTTCCTGATGGCTAACAGATGCTTATGTAACATCTTTGGGTTATTATTACTACTATGGGATAGCTCTAGGAGGACTGCTCTATGGTCCTAAACACCACTGGTCCTAGGATACATTGGTTCTAATAAGGATTCATCATATAAACATATGGTGAGGTTTCCGGATTTTGTAAATAAAAGTGTATTTTTACATGTCAAAGCAAAAAGAACCAAAGTGAAGAGGTAAAAAGGCAAGTAACTGTAGCATAAGAATGCCATGTATGCTTTGCGATGTATCGAGTGAACACATTCAAGAAAGATTCATCCAGAAATTCTAATGTAACCATTGAGTAGATATAACCTCTACTGGTATGAAGATCAAATTACTGATTTTACTTACTTAGTGGAGAGATACACAGAATGGTCTTCTTGCAATTATTTCACAAAATCGATGAAATATCTGAAAGAAGAGTTAGAAATGTCTTTTATTAGGGAGTCTCAGAGAAATGTAGTTCTCAGCTACAGAAGTGTCAGAGTGCAAAGTCACAGTTGGGAATATATAAATTTCCCATAATCAAAATACTAACTTATTGTACACCACACAACAAATGAAAAACATCTACAGTACTATTACATACTGAGTTTGCACTATTTACTTCAAGGCAACCATACTCCCACTAGTTGTATATCAAATTTAGAAAGATCGCCTAGAATGCTAAATATTCCTCTGCCATCTAGTAGTGACCAACAGGTGAATGTTAGCACCAAAAACAGGGCATTAATGAGTGGGTGCTTGACCAATATGAGTAAGTGATATATCAAACAATAGCTCTCTTTATTGTTCTGAGTGTGTTTATTTTTTGTATCCAGAAGCAGTTTCTATTTGAAAAAATCAAAACTAAAACTTTAAAACCATTCATGAATACTTATTAGTCACTGAATTAGGAAAAAACAAGACATACAATAAACTAAGTGG